CAATCACCTCCACTTAGGAACGCAACGTCCTCGTTGCGCCCAAACACCAATCTCAATCATATCCCAGAATCTTTTCCCCTACTAAGTGCCCGCCCGATATCCAACGGATCAGCACACTGTCGCAGGGTTGCTCTGATACCATTTGTAACACCCCGGCCTCGCAGGACCCGAGGTAGCTACTCTAGACTACTGTCCTCACAAACCACCACGAGCCTTTACCGCGCACTTTGTCCTCACTCATGCGCGCCCTGAGAAACTTCCCAGGGGGTCACCCATCCCAAGACTACTCTCGTGCAAGCACGCTTAATTTTGGAGTTCTTGGGTGATGAGCTCCCTTAAAAGGAGATGCACCTCTGTTAGTATGAGTAGTACTATTAATCCCTTTAAATTAAATCTCAAGTATTACATGGAGATCATGGCTTTATGCAGTACGATCGGCCCCTCAACGCCATCGTGTCCAGTTCATGGTCGGGTTTGCCCATGCCCTTCTAGGATGGGGGGACCACCGTCTTATGTAGTACGATCGGCCCTAAGCACCATCGTATCAAGTTCACGGTCGGGTTTGCCCATGCCCTTCCAATATGGGGGACCACTGTCTTATGCGCACGATCGGCGCCTTAGCGCCATCGTGTCCAGTTCACTGTTTGGTTTGCCCATGCCCTTCCAGGATGGAGGACCACCGTCTTATGCAGTACGATTGACCCCTCAGCGCCATCGTCTCCAGTTCACGGTCGGGTTCACCCATGCCCTTCCAGGATGGGGACCACCATCTTATGCAGTACGATCGGTCCCTCAACGCCATCGTATCTAGTTCACAGTTGAGTTCGCCCATGCCCTTCTAGGATGGGGCACTACCGTCGTATGTAACATGATCAGCCCCTCAGCGCCATCGTGTCCAGTTCACGGTCAGGATCGCCCATGTCCTTCCAGGATGGGCACCATCGTCTTAGGCAGCACGATCGTCCCTTCTGCGCCATCGTATCCAGTTCACAGTCAGTTTCACCCATTCCTTTCCAGGATGGGGACCACCGTCTTATGCAGCACGATAGGCCCCTCAGCACCATCGTGTCATCACCATGGACTCCACCGATGTGAGACTATCATACGAAGACCATTTTTCCCTCCACAGAAGGTCGTAGGTTCGATAGTTCCCCAATCTCATACGATGCACTCATTCATACATTCATGCATCACATCTCATACATTCATACATACAAACATACATTGTGTCTCGTCCTTTCCGCGTCTTACCGGCATATTATGTTCAGAGGGGAAGACACCCACTCATATGGTAGGTTTGCTAGAAGACACAGGTTCAAGGAAGACAACGGAAGAGCGCGAGCAAGAGCATACTTTCTCGAGCAAATCCATAACCTCATCACTTAAGAAACTAGGGACTTGTGTTGAGATATATTACTCTGGCCTACTACTGTTTACGGACCCTGGACATTACCCCCAGTTTGGAGCCCGATCAATGAGGCCCACTTCAGCCTTTCAGGCATGTTTTGACCCTTTAGATCCATTTCAGCCCACTTGGCCCATTGGGGTGGTTTGCACCCTCTCTCCCCATATGTTCTATAAATAGGAGCTTTGACTCCATTTGTAGGGATCCCTTTCTTGGCTTCTCTTAGCCTTTTCTTCCTCCTTCTCTCTAGAAGTCTAATACTCAATGAATGGGAGCTTTTGTACTATGTAATGGTGAGGAGAGCATTAATAAAATGAGAGGGCTTGGACATTAGCCTAAAAAGTCTTGTGGTTTTCACCCTTTCGGGTTTCCACGTAAAGATCGAGAGTTCATACAGTTTATATCTATATTTATTATATCGTGTTGGATTAAACTCAACAAGTATATAAAAGTATAATGGATTCAATTTGGATTAATGGATGAGCTCTTAAAATACATTCAAAAGCAATTCTAAAGTATTTGATGAATGATGTTTCGACCGAAAAATAGTGGTTTGATCACATTTAGCATTTTCAATGACGGAAAAAGTTGTGTGGTAAATAGTTGTTCGGCACTAGCGTTTTTGGACGGAAACGCAGAAATGGAAACACTGCGAATAGGAGAGTTTTGGGTTAACGTTTTGAAATATGACATTTTCTAATAATTGTATGGCCAAGTAACTAAATTACCTAACATCTTTTGGCAATCCGTCAACTTATTCCGCTAGTCAAACTTGCTCACTGAATCCGATATTGACAACTCGCTAACATAATCCGCTATCTGCTAAATGCCAACCGCTTAATGTCAAGCACGCTCAAAATGTTTATGGGTACACAATAATAATGATATTAAATGGTTAGACGTCAGTCACTCTTTTGAATTAAGAGATGATATTAATAGTAATGGGCGACAACTGGACTCAATGATGTGTCGTCTTGCTATTCATTGAATTATTCTCTCCCCAAGTTTGACAGAGTCAGAGCATTAAATGCTCTTCACGCAATATCTGGTATCCCATGAGGTATGCAGTTGAACCATCATGGGGTAAAGCCTAACTTGGTCATGTTCCGGACCCTGCTCAGTATAGTCGAGCACTTTCACCCCAATCTCTTCTAGCCCGCGTAATTCCCCTCTGTTCCCCTCTCTCCCTGTCCCGCTCGGTAAGATGGAGTGATGCCCATATTGGTTCCTTGTATGTGTTGTCGACTTATCTCGGATCAGATAGATGGTGTTGGGCCGATCCGATGCCGTTGGGCCCAATATCCCATCAATCAATTTTTTTATTATACGCGTAACTTTTGATGTCCCTCATTAAATTGTGCAATAAATAAAAGATGTAAAGTTGAAGTTACTTTCCTAACTGAATTGACTGAATTTGATACGTAGCACTATTTTAGTTAGTTCACATATATTTTTATTTTCTTTTCATCAATAAAATGTTTTTAAAAACTAATTTCATAATTCACCAAATGCAAGTTATGCCCTCTCCGTTGGAGTTTTACCGATAACTCTTCTTTTTAGCTGGTAAGTTTTATCACTAACCTTTTAACTAAACATGTAACTTATGATTTCCTAGGCTGAATTGTGAAAAAATAAAGCAAGTAATATTTTTTATTTATTTTAATCATATAGTGTCTATTAAATATGATTTTTTTTAATTCAATTTTGTCAGTATTTTGATAATTTCACCAGACTCAGACTCGATTTAGGCAATTAATCTTTCCATCTCTTAAAACTTTATCAATTTTTTTATATTTTAGCTAAAGAATTTATGATTCTTATTATAAAAATTATAAAAATTATAAAAATCTTAATTATAAAAATTACCCAAAGGACCATCATAAATGCAGTTGGTATACATATTTTGTATAATTTTTGTATAAATCATTTTAATTTTATGTGTATACAGATAATGTGTTCAAAAGTTGCAATGAAAATAAAAGGTGTATTACTAGGGGTGCAAATGAGCTGAGCCGCTCGTGAGCCGCTCGGTCAAAGCTCGGATCGAGTTCGGTCAAACTCGAGCTCGAGCCGGCTCGTTAAGCAGTCGAGCCATAAACGAGCCTAGTTTTATATATTTATATATTTAATATATACGTCATAAATAATATTCATATAAATTAATATATAATATATATTAGTGTATATATATATATATATATATATATATATATATATATATATATATATATATATATATATATAGGTTTTGGTTCAAATAAGAACATGATTTTAGGAGAGAAATGAGAACGAATCTGGACCGTTTGATTTACTTTAAGTGAAATTCAATGTGTATTAGATGAAACTGTAATATGCATTAAGTGAAATTGAAATGTGCAACACAAAGCGTATGATACAATGTCATTAAGTGAAGTTGAATTGTGCATTAGGTGAAATTGAAATGTGCACTAGGTAAAACTGAAATGTGCAGAATAAAAGGTACGATGTGATGTTATTTTTGTACATTTTTTTCGGCACATTTCAGTTTCACCAAATGCACAATTGAGTTTAAATTTTTATTCTGCACATTTCAGTATCATGTAATACACATTTCAGTTTCATCAAATGCACATTTCCGTTCCACATAATACAATCCAACGGTCCAGATTCGTTCTTATTTCTCTCCTGGGAGTCCGTTCTTACCGGAACCGCTCCCTATATATATACTCCCGATATATATCACATACAAATCATGCTTAATTTACTAACCTACAAACTCAAAAATATGCAACACTTTGAACTTCAATATGAAGTACAAATAATGTAAAGATGCACTCTTTGAACTTCAATATGCAATACAAATAATCTAAATATAAAACTACTATTTTATGGCTTAAATAATATGAAACACTTTGAACTTCAAAGTGCAATACAAATAATGTAAAGATGATTTGAATGGGAGGACTAGTTTGTATGTGATCTCACCCCTGCATCTTTACATTATTTTTACTACATATTGAAGTTCAAAGGGTTGCATATTATTAAGTTTGTAAGTTAGTATTTTAAGTATAGTTTGTATTTGATCTCTTATATATATAATATAAATTAATATATATAATACCGATCGGTAAATGTATATGAGGATCGGGGAGATATTATATTTTTCGTTCTCGTAACTCTAGTTTCAGTTAAATCGTCATGGTTTGATCATTTTTTATTTATTTTGGACAACATTTACTCTAGTTTTAGTTGTTGGCATGTAAATTTCAATTTGCAAATACTAAGCACAAATATTCAAAGATTGTTTCATACTTGAGCTCGAATTTGAATCCGAACTTTTGAACTAATCGAACTTGTAACATTTGACTTACGAACCAAATTTATCGAGCCGAGTCGAGCCATGTCAATATTTGCGAGTCGAGCTTGAGCTCGGATTTTTTAAACTCGTTCGAGCTGAGCTCGAGCTCGAGCCAATACAATATATTTCGAGCTCAAGCCTACATAAACTCGGCCTCGTCTAGGCTCGTCTAGGCTCGTTTGAACCCCTATGCATTACACACAAAAGGTGTATATATGTACACTTCTTGTGTACAAAAGGGACCATACATGTAATAAACTTAATTAAAAAAGTGTAAAATCAAACGGTGCAGAGAGGCAGAGACAGAGGGCAGAGATTGCATAAAAATTTGCATCTTATTCTGATCAGGTTGAGCTGTTCTCTCTGTAACAGCAGCTGCTCCAGAACATCGTTCTCTGCGCCCCACCTTCACAAGCATCTCCCCTTCCCTCCGTACTGCTCTTTTCGCTGCCCCACCCCCACCCCCACCCACCAATCGCGATTGTATAGTACTAGATCATAACAACTCCTGCCCCCTATCTCTGAAAATTAGCTCTGGAGAAATGAAATCTTGTTAACCTCACTTCCCATATCTGAATTCTGCAAATTCAACCTGAGAGATGATGAACAGAGACCCGTTCAATCAAAACTATTTCCAGGGTTCTTTTTCTGTCGGTGGCGCCAGCTCCGCTGCCATGGGTGGCTGCGGGAAGCGCTCTGCTGCTTGCGAGAGCGAGCCGGACGCCGGGATGGACGAGCTCTTGGCGGTTTTGGGGTACAAGGTCAGGTCGTCTAACATGGTGGAGGTTGCGCAGAAGCTCGAGCAGCTTGAAGAGGTCATGTGTAGTGTTCAGCAGGACGAGTTGTCGAATTTTGCATCGGAAACAGTCCATTACAACCCTTCAGATCTCCCGTCGTGGGTCGATTCCATGATTTCTGAGCTCAATCCGTTCACTATGCCCCAATCCGAATTCTCCACCGTCCTCAACGGGTTTCCCAGCCCGGCCGCCGCTGCCACACCTCAGATCTTCGGTGACTCGCCTTTCGATTCCGCAGATCTAGCCGCAATTCCGGGTAGAGCGGCCTATCCTCGAGTAGAGACGCCTCCTGCGGCGGTTGTGCAGCCTCCCAGCAAGAGGTTCAAGTCCGCCTCCAATTCTCCATCTTCAACCACTACATCTTCTTCGAACATGAGACTCGGCGGCGATGGCGGCGGCATCTGGCTCAATCACTCCAACGAGTCAATGAATACTCCGTCTTCGCGACCAGTCGACTCAAGTCGCCCTCTGGTCGTCGTTGACTCGCAGGAAAACGGCGTGAGACTCGTCCACACCTTGATGGCCTGCGCTGAGGCGATCCAGAAAGAGAACATGAAATTGGCGGAAGCTCTGGTGAAACAGATCGGCTTCCTCGCTGTCTCGCAAGCCGGAGCGATGCGAAAGGTCGCCACCTACTTCGCCGAAGGTTTAGCCCGGAGAATCTATCGACTCTACCCTTCCAACCACAACGACTCCTCTCTTTCAGATCTCTTACAAAGTCACTTCTACGAGGCCTGTCCCTACCTGAAATTCGCCCATTTCACCGCCAACCAAGCCATCCTCGAAGCTTTCGCTGACAAAAAACGGGTACACGTGATCGATTTCTCCCTTAAACAGGGGATGCAATGGCCTGCTTTGCTCCAGGCACTTGCAGTGAGGCCCGGCGGTGCTCCCACTTTCCGACTAACCGGAATTGGACCACCGTCAACTGACAATTCAGATCATTTGCATGAAGTTGGATGGAAGTTGGCCCAATTGGCTGAAACAATCAATGTGAAATTTGAGTTCAGAGGGATTGTGGTTAACTCGTTAGCGGATCTGGATGTGTCCATGCTCAAAATCAAGGAAGGCGAAGTGGCGGCTGTGAACTCCATCTTCGAGCTTCATCCGTTGCTCGCCCGGCCGGGAGGTATAGATGACGTGTTATCGGTCGTGAAGAAAATAAAGCCTGAGATTCTCACCGTGGTTGAGCAGGAAGCCAATCATAATGGCCCGGTTTTTATGGACCGGTTCACCGAGTCACTGCATTACTACTCCACGTTCTTCGACTCGCTGGAGGGTTGCTTTGCCACTGCTGGGGAAGGCGGCTCCGTCACCGAACAAGATAAGGTGTGGTCGGAGGTGTATTTGGGGAGGCAGATCTGTAATGTGGTGGCGTGTGAGGGTGTGGACCGGGTCGAGAGGCATGAGACGTTAGCACAGTGGAGGACCCGATTTGCTTCGGCCGGGTTAAGCCCGGTTCACTTGGGCTCCAATGCTTACAAACAGGCCAGCTTGCTTTTGGCGATGTTCGCGGGCGGAGATGGGCATAGAGTGGAAGAGAACGATGGCGGTTTGACGCTGGGTTGGCACACGAGGCCGCTCATCGCCACCTCGGCCTGGAAACTCAGCACTTAACTTGCCGGGTTTTCCAAATCCATTGGGCTGCTCGGTGACCTGCCGGTTCATTTGTGTCCCCTGTTTTTCTTGTTAATCCAAATAATTAATTTATTATGGAACTTTACTGCGTTTAATGTTTAAATTTTGTGAATGGGTTAAGGATGATGCAATGCTTAGAATTTCAATGGTGAATTTGACAATGTGTGTTTATATATGCTTTTCTCTTCACAATTTTCTTTGTTTTGTTTCAACTTTTTCAGATATTAGTGTAATTTTAGATATTAGTGTCTTTCACACAAGTAATGTCTAATTTCAGATATTACATTTGACTATGTTGACCACTAAATTATACGAACTACTCCGTAAGGGGTATGGAAAGTAAAAGCAAGAATACGTATGTATCGCTGTAAGGCCATCTCCTCCATGCTTCATTCTTATGCGTTAGAAGCTCAAGTTAAGGGAAATTTATTTTTTTTAAATTCTTCTTAATGTAAACTTCTTCATTTTTCGTATTTAGGTGCTAATTTATAAAGATGTTTTCACTTGGACCGTAATTTGCTGGTCTGAACTGGTCTGGTCTGATCTGGTTTCTTTGCATTTTTATAACTATCTAAGTCTGATCTGGGAGAAATTACGGTCTAAATAAAAACATCATAATGCAATTCATATTCTTGGCTTCGTCCATGTAATGGTACATTGTACTATCCTCCGTTCCATAAAAGTTGCAACAGTTTGACTTTCACGTTTGCCAACACGCAACTTTGACTGTAATTATATTTATTTACGTATTAGTAAACATTAAAAAAAGTCAATATATTGGAAATTTACACTAATACAAATTTATTAATATTTTATACATAATATTTTTATTATATATATTATTAGAAAATCGTAGTCAAAGTAAGGTGTGTGAATAGTGCAGATATTCCAATGTTGCAACTTTTATGGAACAGAGGAAGTATTTCATAGGGTTTGACGCACCCAACCATCACCATATATATATATATATATATATATATATATATATATATATATATATATATATATATATATATATATATATATAGACACACACACATATATATTCTTGGCGGTCCACTCATAATAATCTCAACTATCGATTATTTCAGAATAATCCCAACATTAGGGACCTTACGCCAATAATGATCCGACGTGACCGACTATACATAAATTCATATAGTTTCTAAAGAGATATAGCAGGTAATCCCTATAAATAATCCCAAATTTTAATTTTTACGCTTAGTTTCTATTAAATATTCACTTGTTATAGCAGGTAATATGCGATCATGGATCATTATTGGCGGACGGTCCATATAGTTGGGATTATACAAAAATAATCCCAACTATATTTAGGGGCGGTCCAAGGGGAGGGCAGCAGAGGCGATGATCCTAGGCCCAATAAAAGTGAAAAGAAAATTAGGCCCAATATTTATGTGTGATACTAAGGCTGAAAAGGCTGAGTTTTTGGTCCTATCCTATATTTTCATCCAACCAATAAGAAGAATAGTGAACAATCGTAAAAACACGGGAATTCACATCACTTTTACTTGTATAAATCTACAATTCTGTTTTTCTACCTTTGGTGCACAACCCTTAAATCCTCAATCTATGTTTTATACATACTACTACGTACATTATTAGTTAATAGTTATGATAAATTTTTACTTTTTATCACCGAATTTAGATTTTTTATTGTTGATTTACTTATTGATTGTTATCTTGTTGAATCGTGCAGTACTGAAATTGTGAATTTGTTTATATTGTTATTTGATCCTGAATTTGTATGTTTTAAATTTGTTGGAGTATTAACTGCGGAGTATTATTTTGTCAAAAATAGTGAAATTACGAATGAGTTTTAGCTTTTCTAGTTAAAAATGGTTATGAAATTTAATTGTGATTTTGTGATAGTATTAAAATTTCTTCCATAAAAAATTAAAATTTATTAATTTTAAAATGTAATAAAACTGGACGAATCTGGATGGGATATAGTACAATATTTTTTTAAAAAGGAAAAATTGATTGTAATAATCTCAACTATTGGCGGTTCGCTCATAATAATCTCAACTATCGATTATTTCAGAATAATCCCAACATTAGGGACCTTGCGCCAATAATGGTCCGACATGACCGACTATAAATAAATTCATATAGTTTCTAAAGAGATATAGCAGGTAATCCCTCTAAATAATCCCAAATTTTAATTTTTACGCTTAACTTCTACTCCCTCCGTCCCTAAAAGGATTGCCAAGTTTGACCGACACGTAGAATAATAAAGTAAAAACTGTGCGGTAGAGATTTGTGAAGAGGAGAGAGAAATAACTGGAGCCACAAATTGATTGATTAAAAGGGAAAGTGGCAAAGTTTTTGGGACAACCGAAAAAGGAAAGTTGGCAAAGTTATAAGGGACGGAGGGAGTATTAAATATTCACTTGTTAGAGCAGGTAATATGCGGTCATGGATCATTATTGGCGGACGGTCCATATAGTTGAGATTATACAAAAAATAATCAACAGTTGAGATTATTGTTAGCGGGCAATAGTTGGGATTATTATTTTCAATTTTTCCTTTAAAAAATTAGGTCTATTATAGAGCACTCGCCCATAGGCCTTGGAACCGTCAGGACCGGCCCTATATATATATATATATATATATATATATATATATATATATATATATATATATATATATATATATATATTTGATATATATTTGATATATATAAATATATATATTAGAAAAGGGTATTTAAGTTCCATATATAACTTTCTCTAAGATATGGATGGTTCTTACCAATTTTTAGTCTCAACTCAACAGCAATACTGGGTTCTTCAAGATCACCAACCAAGTTGGTTAAGACTTCACTGCCACGCCATTTCCAAATGATTTCGTTAATGCGAGCTTATTATAGTAGCTTAACCTGCAAGAGGGAGACATTGTAAAGCAATAACATCGCATACTCCTAAGTTGAGCAAAAGAATCGTGTAATAGCAAAATGAATAGACTTTACTAAGCTAAAGTATAATTAGCATCATGCTGCTAAAACTGCATACAAAATGACCTTCTACAGTAACTTCAGCGAATACAATCCGAAAAGTAACTTCAATCGTACATTTTCTTATTATTATACAATTCAACCCGTAAAAAAAGTTATGTGTTTGATGAAAAATTTGACTTATTAGTCTGAAAAGCCAAAAACCATGGCTACTCAATTAAAACCATTCAAAAAATGTTTATCAATAACTTCGTTTGATAATCCGTATCACTTTTGACACTTATAATATCTTGTGTTATACTCATAAACATGAGTTTTTGTCGGGATAAAATACTCATTATCATAGATATGAGACATAACACATGTATCTAAGTGTCTCTTCAAAAAATTTAATGATAAAAATGTCTGCAATAAAATCTACCTCCATTCTTATTTTATATATTCGGTATCTCCTTGATCAAATAATATTATTTAATTGATATATCATATTGATAAGTTGATTAAAACTTATTAATATATAATAGCAAATCTTCTAATTTAAAGCCAATATCTCGGTTTTAATATTTTTACTTTTCATTAAACCCCGAAAAATTGGCCTGGATATTACTCCTGGACTTTTTTCTTCCAAAACTATTACCATTTTTCAGTATCCCAAAAACGTGACCTAATTTAATTATAACAGGCTCCTATTTAATTTTAAGAGTTTTCTCTCAGTCGTTCTCTTACTGACTTTCCGCCGTTGTTCTTTCTCTTATTAACGACATTTACTTCTCACTCATGCTCTGCTTGGTAACTACAACTTCATCTACCTCATTTTGAATCACAATTTTTTCTCATTTTTGCTATGGAACTTCTCGTGTTTCGCATGCAGTAGTCGTCGAAATATTCACTCATACGGTCGGAGACGCTCCATCTTAATCGATGGTAAACTACAATTTTGCTATAGGTACCCCAAAGGTATACCCCATTTCTACCACATATAAAAACATTCCCCCACTTTTTTTCTCCCCTCCCTCCCTATCTCCTACATCTTTTTCTTTTCACGCAGCCCCCATCCCCTCCCCTTTCTTTCTCTTTTCTCTCCAAATCTTGATTTCTTCTCCATTTCAAGATGTCTCCCCTTCTTTAAGGCTTCTCATTTTTACCGTCTTTTCCTCCTCCAACCTTCTTCTCCTGCTTCTCTCCTCTTCCGCTTTTTTTCCGTTTCAAATGTTGGAGCTACAGTAATCGGATGAACGGGGAGAGCTCGGTGATGTTGGATAGCTTGACATGGGGAGAGCTCGGTGACGTTGCCGATGGTGGGCCTACGCCGGTTACCGTTCTGGATACAACCTCAAGGGAAGACAACGAAGAAGGTGCAGATCAAGAAGCTTTGAATGACTTGAGTAGATCTTTTTTTCTCGATTTTTTTCTTGATTTTTTGGTGTGTTTTCGAAATAAAAAGGGTTGTCTGTCTAACAGACAACTTGTAAGTGCAGCGTCTGTATTTGTTCGTAAGCCTCATGAAGTTTTCTGTCATTTGAAAAATAAATGTCTGAAATAATTGATATTTAATTGTTTGTCATTTGCTGGTTAGTTGTCTGTATTTGTTTTGAGTTGTCTGTAATGACTTTTCTGTCATGTTGTTGTGAGGAGTCTGTAAGAGTCATGAAGTTGTCTGCCATTTTAAAAATACATGGTTGTAACTCATATTTAGTTGTTTGTCATTTGATTGTGAGTTGTATGTAATTTGTGGTGTGTATTTTTGAGATGTATAGACAACTTGTAAGTGCAGTGTCTATATACTCAAACATGGTTTCACATAGTTGGTGAAACCTTGAACTAAAATGTATGTCACACAGACAACTAATTTGTTTGTCTACATAGAAACATTGTGTGCATGCACATGCAAGTATTGGTACAACTAAATTTTATAGTACATTTTGATAAGTTTAGTAATTATTAACGTAGTTATATAAAAGTGTTTGGACATATGGTTATATTTGTTAATGTATAGATGAATTTGGTGAAAACAAAAACATATATGATATTGTTTGTGTGGACAAACAAAATAATGTGTTGTGTTTTTGTATTGATTTGAACATGTGTATTTATTTGGAATAACAGATAGAGAGGGAGAAAATAGTTGTGTTTTAAGGTCCCAATGTTGGTATGGAGTTCCCTAGTAAAGAAGCAGTTTAACTAAGTCTAAATAAACTATGATGGGTGGATCACAACCGTTGAACAACAACGGTTAGACAAGTGTGAATGATAAGTGGTTGGACTTAAATCTTAATCTGTTGTGATTAACCATTGTATGTAGTTTTGAATAAATCATTTTTTAAAAAGTGAACATTAATTTCCCGTATTAAAGCAATGTGTCAATGATGAGGGGTTGGATTGAAACATTAGTCTGTTGTGAATTTCCATTGTTGGCATTAAGTATACACATGCAGACAATAAGTATACACATACAGACTACTTTATTGTGAATTACCATTTTGGCATATGTTTCATAAAAAAGACAGACAATACGTATATATAGACAGACAATAAAGATAACCAAACATACATTATTTTTATAGACTTATAAACTTTAACCAATCTACTTCCAAAGGCAACTTTAAAGACAACTAACTACATCTCAAAAAATACACACCAAAAATTACATACAACTCACAATCAAATGACAAAAAACTAATATGAGTTACAGACATGTATTTTTAAAGTGACAGAAGACTTCACGACTCTTACAGACTCCTCACAAAAACATGACAGACAAGTCATTGCAGACAACTCAAAACAAATACAAGCAACTAACAAGCAAATGACAAACAATTAATTAAATGTCAATTACAGACATTTTTTTTTCAAATGACAGACAACTTCACGAGTCTTACAAACAAATACAGAAACTGCACTTACATGTTGTCTGTGAGACAGACAACCCTTTTTATTTCGAAAACACACCAAAAAATCAAGAAAACAAAATCAAGAAAACAAAATCAAGAAAAGAAGATCTGCTCAAGTCATTCAAAGCTTCTTGGTCTACACCTTCATTGTTGCCTCCCCATGTCAAGCTATCCAACGTCACCAAGCTCTCCCCGTTCATCCGATTACTGTAGCTCCTGCATTTGAAACGAAAAAAAATGGAAGAGGAGAGAAGCGGGAGAAGAAGGTTGGAGGGGGGAAGATGATAAAAATGAGAAGCTTTAAAGAAGGGGAGAGATCTTGAAATGGATAAGAAATCAAGATTTGGAGAGAAGAGAGAAAGAAAGGAAGGGGATGGAAGGCTGCGTGAAAAGAAAAAGATGCAAGAAGGAGGGAGGTATTGGATTTAATCGGTCATGAGTCTCACATATAAGCATGCATGGGTGAAGTTTTATTTAAGTTTGGTTTATGTTTTAATTAATTTCTTAAATTAGTGGCATTAGTTGAAGTTAATCATTTCTTTTAGTGGGTGGTTACTTAGCATGTTTGCATGTTCCCACTTCTCACAATCCCACTTCCCATGTAGGAACTATTGTTAGGATATATATATATATATATATGCCTCTTCTCTTCATTAATTAATATACATTGCATTTTGTTAACTCTTCCTTCTCATAGTAGTTATTCCGGGAGAATTTGTTTGTAGCTTCTGTTTTCACTTCAACACATGGTATAATTTTTCAAGTGTAGATTTTATTTATCAATTTATTTCCAACATTTGGGTTCAGAGCCCAAAAATCCGTTTGAATAATTTATTGAGCCGTTCTTGATCCTTGGTTGAAGCATCTCAACGGCAGCCCCGATTTTCACTTGATCGGGCTTGTTCCAGCGTTGTTGAGAGTATAACCGGGTGTGGAATAAGCAGACAGAAAGACTTCACAGCAGGTTGCTGTGATTCGGTTCGCTTTGCGGGTGACGGAAAATGTTAGCGGTGGTTGTGACCGCGTTTTCTTGATTGGAAGAAAATTCTCTCAGAACAAGCTTGATCAACAAAATTTGGGGTTGTCCAAACAAAGAGTAGAATGGCGTTGGTACCAAGAGAAGGAGGTTCGATGACGTTTCAAGTTCCGGCCTTGACCCAGACGAATTATCGGGTGTGGGCAGTCAAGGTGAGGACGATCATGGATGCATATGGCTTATGGGAGACGGTCGAACCAAGGGCGCTAGGTGAACAAATGGATCCAAGGAAGTCAAAACAAGCTCTTGCTTTCTTGTTTCAAGCGATACCCGAAGACATGGTGTTGCAAATGCCGAGTTACACCGACCCAAAGCAAGTATGGGATGGCCTAAAAACGCGGTTTTTGGGAGTGGAGCGGGTGAGAACGGCTCGTCTTGCAACTCTAAAGAGGGAGCTCGAAGGATTGCGTACGAAGGAAGGCGACACCGTTGATGACTTCGCCGAAAAATTGATCGGTTTAGCTTCAACGACAAGGACCCTCGGATACGAAATTGAGGAATCAAATTTGGTGAAAAGCTACTTGATTCTATGCCCAAGTCTTATCTCCAACTCGTCGCTTCAATTGAGCAATGCTTTGAGTTAGATGGGATGTTGTTCGAAGAGGCCGGTGGAATATTGAGGGCGTACGAGGAACGCACAAAAGGATTTGAGAAGATGGATGACACTCAAGGTGGTTTGTTGTTGGCAAGTAAAGAAAAGTTTCACGGTTGTAAGAATTGTGGCAACGGAAGTTCAAGTCGGGGTGACTTTGGACGTGGCCAGGGAAGAGGTCGTGGGTTCGGGAGGAGTAAAGACGGTAATGAACGTGTCCGGGACAAAAGCCACGTTACATGTTACAAGTTTGGGAAACTTGGTCACTATATCAACGAGTGTCCTAAGTGAGGGAAGCAAGAACCATACTTGATGGAAGAGGAACCAGTGTTATTGTGAACAAGTAGTATGGACTGACCGATTAAGGGGGTGATTGTTGGATTTAATCGGTCATGGGTCTCACATATATGCATGCATGGGTGGAGTTTTATTTAAGTTTGGTTTATATTTTAATTAATTTCTTAAATTAGTGGCATTAGTTTGAAGTTAATCGTTTGTTATATTTGGTGGTTACTTTGAATGTTTGCATGTTCCCACTACTCACAATCCCACTTCCCATGTAGGAATTATTGTAAGGCTATATATATGCCTCTTCTCTTCATTAATTAATATACATTGCATTTTGTTAACTCTTCCTTCTCACATTAGTTATTCTGGGAGAATTTGTTTGTAGCTTCTGTTTTCACTTCAACACTTGGTATAATTTATGAGTGTAAATTTTCTTAATCAATTTATTTCCAACAGGAGGGAGGGGAGAAGAAAAATTGGGGAGGTTTTCATATGGGTACATTGGAGTATACCTCGAGGTACCTATAGCAAAATTGGGTAAACTTCCTTGAACTTCATCTTCTTCATTCTCAATCACCCATTTCCCCCATTCTGGAGTCAAAGCCGGTCCTGGGGCATGGGCAAGTAGGCAACGGGGCATGCGCCCAGGGCCTATTCTCCGCTAGGGCCCATAAATTTTCAAGTTATATATATACATATTTATTTTAATTATATATCTATAAAAATTTAAAACAAATCACTTATAATTTTCTTATACTTTCAATTCATTATTCAAAAACATCTACAAGCTACAAGTTTAAAATTTTGAAATTAAACATCCACACTAGAATTCCTTGGAAACAAACTTCTCCATTTCTTTTGATTCATTAAGAGTTAGCGTATAATTGTTAATCTTTTTATATACTTCTCTCATGTAAACTCATGATTCATTGATAGTATTTTGTTAACTTTCTTTGATTGAAATGAAAGAATTAAAAAAATGTGATTTGAAATATGAAAATTTTACTTCATATAAGACATAACTTTCACATGTTTTCCTAATTCAAAATTATTTATGGTAAATACAAATTGTACTACTTTTTCATTAGGCCGATTTAGTTACATAGTATTCTCGGATGTCACTAACCAAATATTTAAATATAATATTTTAACCGTTTCATTATTAATTTCTTTGAGGTGTTATACTCATATTTATACAATAAAACTACTCCATTTATAATGCCTGGGTCCATAAGAGCATCTCCGATGCTACAATGTGCACGGTGCACATGTGACATGAGAGATATAGACACAAAATATTGTTTTTATGACATTTCTCTCTCCTTCTTTCCACAGTCTTATGTGTTTTTGGTAAGTTTTTGTCTGCAATGTCAACCATAGTGTCTACATCTAGACATTGTGCTTGACATTGTGAAGAAAAATTTACCAAAATGATATAAGATTCTTCAAATAAGGAGAGAGATATTCTAATTAGAGGTATTTACCTATATAGGAGTAAATCAATCTTTAATTGCCAAAATAGGACTATTGTTTAAAAATCTCCTAAATAGGAGTTATTATTTACATTTGGACAGAAACACCCTTGTGAAGCCTGGAAATAAAGCTGCCGCCAAGCAGAACGCTGAACCGCCGCCGGTCACCGGTCGTCGTCTGACATCTCCGCCGCCTCAAAATTGGCCACCAGTGCAGATCAGACCACTGCCATTGCAGATTTGGCATTCGCCGCTGCAGATTTTGTCTGGCACCGCCGGAAATCTGGCCAAATCTACCCTCCCTTGTCTGTCGGCCACTACCCTGCAGATCCGGTCATCGTCGAAGCCAATCCGCCATCTGCCGCTGCAAATATGGCCTCCATTGTTGTAGATCTGGTCGTGGTCATCGCAAATGCCAATATTGTTATCAAAATGCCAATATAAATCGAGAATGCCATTTTAATGGCATTTTCAAAGGATAATACCATTTTTTTAAGAATAAGAATGTCATTTATATGGCATTTTCAGAGATTAATCTGGCATTTTTTAGTTTCAATTAGCATTTGTAACTTCATAGAAGGGGGAAGAGAGAACTAGAGAAAAGGGGGAAGGACAGAGAGAATAATCGGAGAAGAAGCATACCTGCGGAGAAGGCAACTCGATCTACGGCGGCGTGCGACGACAATGGATTCCCTGGCGTCGACGGGTATGATCGATTGGGCTTCTAGGTCTGGCCGTTCTTTTGTGCAGAAGAAGAGAAGATTCATGTAAGAAGGGGAGATGGCTAAGGGAGAAGACCGGTGCGGCACAATTAAAATAAAGAATAGGTAGGGGTAAAATCGTACAATAATCCCATCTGGGAATAAAAACTATGCCTAGTCCCACTTTGGAATTTAATCAATAAATTAGTCCAATCTATGACAATTTTGTCTTCTAATTATTGTTTTTTAATTGGTTATATCTCATGCCATGCGTCCTTAGAGTTTTAGCATTAACACGTGGCCTCGGATGGAGTAAGGACCTGGCCTGTCTGGAGTTATCGATTCTTATTGCCTCATATCTGAAGTCTTGTCTCCTGCAATGAAGGTGCAAATCGATTAGCTTGGTCGGAGTCGCACAGGCTTAATTCCTCCGGGAATGCAAATCTCTCCCCTTCTTTAAAGCTTCTCATTTATGTCATCTTTTCCCCCTCCAACCTTCTTCTCTCCTCTTCCGTTTTTTCGTTTCAAATGCAGGAGCTACAGTAATCGGACGAACGGGGAGAGCTTGGTGACATTGGATAGCTTTGACTGACTTGACACTTGAGATCTTCTTTTCTTGATTTTGTTTTCTTGATTTTTTGAAATAAGAAGGGTTGGCTTGGTCGGAGTGCAGATCTTCTTCATTCTCATTCACAACTGATAATTTAAATTTTACCTTTTCTAATCCTTTTCGCTTTGTTTGTTTTTGCTATTCACCACCCATAATGTGTCAATGCGTTTTTTCCTTGGTAGGTTTTGTTCTTGCATGTTGTGTTAATTCTGTTTTTATGTATCTAAATATGGTGTTCATTGTGTCAATGTGATGTTGCCCCTGTTTTTTTTTTTAGTTTCTAGCCATGTGCATGCAATCTGGGACTGGGGAGTCACTTTGTTATCATTTTTTAGTTACTACTTAATTAACAATCGCATCACCTACACCACTTTCCAACAATATTTTTCTTAAAGGAGAAGCATGAGTTCCCATCAGTAAGTGATCCAAGGAAGCTCAGATTCTAAATCTAGGGGCTTCTCCGAAAGTAGCCAATTAATGCAAACCATGTGCTTTTTCTTAAGGCCACCACCCTCACCAGCAGGATATTTTTCCACAACCCTGACTGGCTCAGAAAATAGCTTATGTGGTTGAATTCTAGACTCTAGGGGTGCTGGCTGAACTAGAATCAAACATGTCCAAATATCCTGTACAACATGGTTTTAAAAAAGCATACTTCAAATTTTCTACAATACTCCCTATTAAATCCTACAACTATATAATCAATCTAGTATATTTCTAACCATATACCACTATCATATAACCAACTTCACAACAATCAAAAGAGAAGTAGAGACACTAAACCAATAAAAGGGTAAAAGCAAAACTATACAATATAACTACTATAGTTAATAATTGGTTGCACATGAAAACTATAGCCAAGATTTGCTTGTTTGTGACTTTGCTTGTTGCTGTTGGTAACTTAGTGTGTGTCTTGTTTCTCAAAAGAGAACTTGTTTGCCTCAATTGGAGCAGACAAAATGGCAATGCAAAGACATCGATGATCAGGAGTCAGGACACATGTGCTGATATAAGCTTAGGACTTCTTGTCCTTCTTCACCTTGAAATTTCATATATTCATTTGATTACTACCATCTACAATGTGCTTCTAAACAATAAGAAACAATGTCCTCACACGGCTTTAGTGAGCAGTCACTTACATTACATGTAATACACATGCCCTATATTCTACTCCATTCCAGCTAAATGGAGGAGTCACTTTGTTATCATTTTCTAGTTACTGCTTAATACACATGGCCTATATTGTACTCCATTCAAGATCTGAAACTCAGTAGTAACTTAGAAGAGAATAATCATGTACAATATGTCTTAATCATTTTTCACTGGCTACTTATATTAACATGTTTATACATCAGCTCTTGTTTTCTAGATTACATGTACGTTATAGTGTGAGCATATACATTTCTTCTTAACAAATTATTTATTCCAATACTTTTATTCCATCAATTATGTAGGGATGGGTGACAGTGACTTTGTATCCACGCTCCCCTCCACCCTCACCTCCTATTGTCGTTCATAACGCTATGCAGCCAATATCCAATGAAGTATGTTTTTGTCCTATATTGAGTTACTATATATCATCAAATACACCCGTAACTAAAAATTACTACAGTATGAAGTATGACTGTTTTATTGTTAATATACTTCAGGCTGCCGAAAGATACTTGGATAAGGCCATTGTAAATTTGGATTTGAAAAGGAAGGTGAATACTATTTGTGGAATCTGTTGCTGATTGTGTGTCTATCTTGAAAAGATGTCTTGGATGTAGTTTGTCCATTCGGAGTCGCCGTGTAGGCATTCCACCTTTACGAGCTTTTGCCATAATGTTCATGACACCATGTATAGGTTATTTGGATAAGCTTTTACTACTATGTCCAAGGTTGCCGTGAACATTTCTTTATATAAGCTCACCATGGCATCCAAGGCTACAGTGTACTCCCTGGTCTTCTACTTGCTCGTGCCCATGGTCGCTGTGGACATGCTCTCTGGATAAGCTCACCATAGCATCCAGGGTTACTGTGTACTCCCTGGTCTTCTACTAGCTTGTGTCCATAGTCGTCGTGTACCGTCTTGTATCTTCTAACCCGCGTGTGGTCGCCACGTATGAGCTCTCCTTATACCTTATCATCATCCGTCCATAGTTACCATGCACATCAACCTCTAACCCATTTTCATCCATGTTAACCCAATCCAACATTTACCCATGGTTGGGATAATTACACCATCGTCCATCAACCAACTATATAAAGAAGGGTTTTTTCATATATATTAAATACCAGTAAGAAATAGTTTGAAGAAGATGTTGAAAACAAAAGCCTATATATATCGCCCCAACGGTTAATGATGTATGTGAAGTCTGGTCCTAATTTCGTGACGATATGATGTTATAGTCGAGTAATGGAGTGTTATAGAAGCTTATCATGTTTTGCTATCACCAGATATGGACGAAAAAGACGTGGGAGACCTGTAAAACGTTGGAAGGCAGTGGAGAAGGGACGCCAGAGGAAATTGCAAGATAATTTTTTTTATTTCTTTTGACAGTACTTTCTCTTTTTTATAGTATCTGTTTTGTTAAATGTCAACACCCTTGACTAGAATGAGTTTCAAATCTGTGAGCTTCTCCTTGGGAGTGTCACACTATTACCGTTGAACCACAAGGTGATTGGCTGCGAGATAAATTTTAATATGATTTAGATTACGTGTATTTGTATGAAGCGAATCTAGAAATGAGATAAATTTGTGTTCAAATGTTAAGTTACTAGTAATTGTTAAAAATCATATCAACCCTTCTAAGTTACTGAAATAAAATGGTTAGTGTTGAGACGATGCAATTTATTAGTGATGTGTCTTGAAAAATTTTAGTTACTTTAAATGGTAACGCCAAAACGGGAATGTTGAAGGAAGTTCATCCAGTAATTTATGGTGTAAATGGTAACGGTAATGTTGAGTGAAGGATGTTCATTTGGTAATTTATGGTGTAGTTACTACTTATTCGTAAAACAGTAACTACAAAATTACATTATGAGTAATTGGTGAGTTGTGACATTTATAATAATAGAGAATCATAATATCTGGTTATTTAAGTTACTGAAAAACGGTGATTATTTGTAAATTGAACCATTGAGGGATACATGTTGGTTGGTGTAGGTTCGATGTAATTTATACGTAGTATCACTTACTGAACCGGAGGCGGAGCTCACCTGGTAGGAAGGGGATGCCACAAATGAAAAGTCTCGTGTTCAACTCCAAACAATCACTTGGGATGAACCCTACTCACTTTCCATTAGAGAGATCAAATCTCAACTTACATCTTACATGTTTTCAAATAACTGTCCGCTCCGTACTAGAGAGCCATCAGGGATGGGATGTCATCCTTTTTTGTACTACTTATTACTTGATGAAAATAATGATGATAATGTAGAAGGAAGCTTCTCATGGTAAATTACTGTGTAGTAACAATGTTTTTGGTAATACAATAACCATAAAGTTACTTTAGTGAAAATACTTGGATTCAAATGGAACTTCTTCTGTTTGAGGAGTATTGGGTAGCAGTAGCACGCGTAACACAAGTTTCAGTACACCATGGACGTATGGTAACTCTGGAAGTCTACAAGTCTAAAACGAGAAATGTTTTCGTCCTTCGATTAAAAATAATAATACTCGTGTCATTTTTTCTATAAAGAATTATGTCACTTTATTACAAATTAACAATATGATCATTCAAAAAACTCTAAGAGGTTGTTTGGAAACCTTCATTTTCGGCTTATCAGGCTTATCAGCCAACTTTTTTATCAAACACGTAAATTTTGCTTTCGCGCGCTGAATTGTGTAATAAGCCGAAAAAGTAAGGTTGGAGTTACTTTTCTAGCTGTATTGGCTGAAGTTACTGTAGATGACCATTTTAGCTATTTTTACATATAATTTTTTCTTTATTTTATTAATAAAATATATTTTAAAAATATTTTTTTCTTGTATCAGCAGAATCAGCCAATGCAGCCACTTCAGCCATAACTTCATAAATTTCAGCAGAATCAGCCAGAACAGCCGATTTTCGTGCTGCCAAACGGGCTCTAAGTTGTACATTTTTAGATGAGAGAATTCCCCAAATAAGAGCAAAAGTGCAAAACATAGGTAAAATGCAAAAATAGGAGTATCATGTTTTGAATAGGAGTAACTTTAGTGTTTAGACAAGTATACCCCTAGCCAAGCCCCAACAACTATTAATTAAATGTTTAATTCATAATAAATTCGAAAAAAATTCAAAAAATCGTAGAAAAATAATTAAAAAATTAATATAATTTAAATAAAATAAAAAAATAATTCTTTTTTTAAATTTTTTTATTTTTAAAAAAAAATTAATAAAAAATAGTAAAACTCCATAAAAAAAATTAAAAAAATATGAGTCTTTCCCACAGCTTGTACTACCTCCCTGCACCACCACCTCCGGGCGGTGAAAAAAAATTCCATTTTCCTAAAAACTGCCTTTTTCTGAAAATGCCAAAAACATGGCATATTTCTCTTTGCGAATGCCAACATTTTCATTGTTTTTTGCCATAAATATGGCATTCGTAATGAACTTCGCATTTTTTTCCCTGGTGACTGGAGGTGGTGGTGCTGAGGCGGCAGAGGCGGCGGTGAATTTTATTTTATTTTTTTGAGTTTTTTATTTTTTTAAAATTTTTTTATATTTTTTTATTTTTTGAAAAGTAAATAAATAAATAATTTATTATTATCGAATAAGTCATAAATTAACTAGGTTAGGATTAAATAAGTCATATTTTAGAATTAACTAGGTTAGGGATATTAAGGGTACAAAATTAATGTTTACTCCTATTGAAGGAAGTTTTAAGTTTTACTCCTATTTGTGCAATTATGTTTATATTTACTTCTATATTGGGCAATTTCTATTTTTAGATCTATAATTCTATATTAACAACAAATTACAAATATTTAGACAATCAAAATAATGACAAAAATGAAGCGAAGGGTGCAAATAAAAAACAATCGCAAGTATTCTATTTTGAGTTTTAAATAACAAATGTGTTATCTAATTATGTCAGACTTCAGATAACGTATCTTTGGTGACCACAAAGAGAAAACTCTTCTCACTACATCTGATTAATTTTAAGGTGATTAATGTCTTGGGAAGTACAGTATTTGGGCAGAACAATTTGGTAGAGCTCGAATTAAAATGTAGGGATCTTTATTTCTTATACTTCTATTACATGCATTTTTCTTTTGTATTTCAATCGTCCAAACACTTGTGAATCGTTTGTGATTACAAAGATGCTTACTTATGTAGAAACAAGCCTCTTGTTAAAGTATATCAACAAGAGTGCATTTGTGATTACAAAATGCTTGTTTATTTCTTTTAAGAAAGCCGATATCTGATTCAAATTGTCTCAAAATTTAAGGATTAAAATGGACTTTTATTTAAAGATGAAATAAACACTAAAATGTTTTTACTTTTAGTTAAAAAGCAGCGTTACTCAGAAACTGAAAAAAAAAAAAAGAGTTTCGGCACTTAAAAATTAGTTTTAATGCTTGAAACATAGCACAAGCCTAATATATGCAATATGCATACAGTTTGTCAAAGAAAAATCTCCATAAAAACAAATAATGGCTCATTTGATAAGTTCTGGGCTAGCACTCTTAAAGTTTATTGAAATCACTATAAATTTAGAAATTCAGTTTTCAGCTAAAGTAGATCAAAATTTGTGTGTGCTTAATCCTGATCTGGCCTAGTTCTGAACCACCATTTTGGCTTTACATCAATTCTGATAACTATTTCAGTTTTTGCCGATTTGAAGAAAATTAACAGAATTCAAATCCACGTTCAGGTCTACTTTGGAAGAACAATGTCTAGTTTAAATTAGCCAGGTTCCTGTCTCAAACGGTAAAAATCAACAGATCATGTGCATGTTTGGTAAGTCTACCTTCTAACTTTTGTAATATATAAAAAATCTCTAAAAACATCTAGACGCTACAATTTTTAAGGGTTTTTTTCAAAACAGATATCTTTTTTTGAAAAGTTGAACTAAATAGCATTTGAGAGAAAGTCTAACTTTTAACATTAATGAGCCACATGTTGTTATACCAAACATAATTAAATTAAACACTCAACTTTTTATCAAATAGTTATAACTTACTCTGTATTTCTTTTAAGATATTTTCGGTTACTAAAAGGAGTAAAAGCTAACCGTTCACAAAAACTCGCAAAAGTGAAACCTTACTTAAGTATTTATGTTGCATTCTCTGTCTGTATGGAAATTAGGCCAAATATTATGGTTACCCGTGGCGAACCTAGAATGTCATATCAAGGGTCCCATTCTTAAAAAAACATACATGAGAGACATAAGCCTTTTAAATTTCTAAACTTCAAAAAGAATAACCAGTATACATCTATGCACTCAAATAAATAGGAGAGATGCCCTCTACGACAACTCACTTTCTTCATCACGGCTACCAAACGCATCTTACACAGACAACTTCAGCATCATATGCATATTAGTATATGTTATTAGGAGGTAGATAGTGTTCGGTCAAGATGATATTAGACTAACAGAGTCAATTAGAGAATAGAGAAGTACAGGAAAGGCAGAGTAATAAAGCAAAAAACTTAGTAGCCTCATTCATAGTCACAGTACATTGAAAATAACAAGCCATTCCACAATATCCTACCACAAGAAGTCTATGTTGGGATAACTAAACCGCAGCAAGAGTAGAAATCCTGAGTGCAGACAGGGGTTGCATAAGATGAACCATCTAGCAGTAACACGCATGGATAGAATAATACATTAAGCGAAAAAAGAACACAATGTTAAATATGCAATGCTCATCCTAAGCAACGACTTACAAAAAGGGGGAAAAAGTACCCTCTATTTGGGATTTCGGAGAACAATGATCACAGAATCTCCACGAAGAAACATCTTGCTGATGAACCTATCCTTATTAACAGGTTGGGCTTTCTTTTTCCCTTTGCCCGTCTTGGGAACCTGCAGAGAAAATGAAGACGTAAAAAAAAGGAAGACAACCCAAAGGAAAAACATTTAAAATCAGTACAGAAAAAGATACCACCTCAGTCCACATCTCTCTAACATTTTCGAGCACCATGTTGCAGTGGCGATCGAAAGCCCTTACACGGCCTAGAAGCTTTCTGTTATTACGACAGTTGATGAGCACCTAAATTCCATAAAAAGTCAAAATTATTTCACAATTCTGGAAAAAAAATGTTTGGGTTAAACTTGTTTGGATGGCTTGGTTTTATTTGGAAATAGGCTTGAAAAAACATCTCATACATCATTTATGATGTGTAATACCTGTGTATTGTTTCTGACACTCATCATGAGAACAGACAGTGGCCCTGTGTTGAATTCCTCTTCCTCATTCTTCCCCTGTCAAAACACATTTGAATAAAGATGTACAAATTTTACAAAAGGAAAAAAATGAGTTTTCATCCTTATATGAAACAAATAACGAACATACACATGTAACACTAAAATAAATCATGTAGACAGACGAATGGTTTATTTGGTGGTTATGCACCAATGGTGCCATATCCAGGAACATTAGACAGTATTAGTGTATTACATTAAAAAAATTAAAAAGTAATTGTATTGTGACATGACTTCAAGACATAAATTTAAAGGAGGATATGCATGTTTTCGCATGCATCAAATTTGATTAACATGAATATATGGAGCTCAACAATGGCAATGCAATCTTTTATTTGTTTGATCAAACATTCTATTTATCTAGATTGACTAATCGCTCCAAATCCTTATACTCCAAACACACCATATAACAGACACTTAGTGATGCTGAGGAGCATGTTTACAACTCATTTTTATTTTTCATAACAAAATGAAAACTTCGGCAGCAGGATCTAATACATGCAGAGCAACACATGTTTTCCACCATAAACACATGAGATAGCAAGGTCATGAGTAAAAAGAATATTAAAGGAAACCGTTATAGATTATGCACAACTGACAGAAAGGAAAAGATGTCGCTAAACATAAAAGACCAAGCTGGTGAGCAATTTGGATAACTTACAGGGGCATCTTCTTCCATTGGTCGACTGTGTCATTGCAAAACAAGTAAATGCATTAGCAACACTCTTTATATCTTGTAAAAAATAAAAAATAGGTTACTAATGGATAATGATGCTGTTTTTCATAGAGTTGCTGATGAGAGTTACACATTTTTGTGTTAAATGATCCATAGCAATCGCATAGAGTGAGAAATTTATAAATCAGATTACCCTAGAGGCTGTCAATCTATATCTAACCTCAGCAAAGTCTCAATCCCAAGGGGATAATGAGGGGATAATTAGGATGTTTTTACTTGGACTAGGTTCAAACTCAGACCATAAGATACTAGACAAGACTTAAGGAGATCAGACCAGACTTAAACAGACCAGAGCATACCAAACTAAACTTACAGAGATCAGACCAGACTTAAATAGACCAAACCAAACCAGAATTGGAAAATATAGGTGTGGCAGCAGATTGCAAGCTGAAAATTATGGGATGCTTCTGAGGTGAAGCAGTGCGGTAAAATTAGTACAAATCCGGTATAAGCTTCAGTTCAAATATTACATGTTATGTTGGGCCCTATACAGTTATTGGCCCAATATTATTCAAAGAAGCTTAGCATACACTGATATACATACAGTGGCATTGGTGAGCTTTAAAGTCTAGAAGGGTCTCTTGTTTCTGTTTCGCCTCAACTCTAAAAAACTTCTACAAAAATGATCTATTTGTTCTCTAATTTCTAAACTATGAACAAAGCAATAAGTAGTGGAGTAATCTACCCAAAAACCTAACTAATATTGTTCGAAGAAAAAAGAAATGGTTTTGGTTGTAAAGAAACTGATAGTAAATACATTATCGATATAGAAACTCATAAATAATGCGATATGAAGTTATGAACATACCTCATATTTGGTTGAAAAGGACCTCGAATCCAATCACTGCTAGAAGAAGAAGCTGGATTACTGGTTCAGAAATGAAGAAACTAGGGTTTACAAAAGATACAGAACTACTACAATCGAAATTTTAAAGAAGACTGATTTATCAAATTTACCGGATGGAGTATATAACTCGGGTTTAGAGAGGCGACTGCTCCCGCGCTTGAATTCCTCAGGAAAACGCTATGGGAGATTGGGAGGAAAAGGGCTCCCTGTGACATGCGGTAGAGAAGGTGTAAATGGGCCTATGGGCTGTTTAAATGACTTGGCAGATCGGTAGCACTCATGGGGCCAACACCAATGTTAATAAGGATGTTTTTATTTGGATTATTTTCAATCTCAGATCATAATAGATCAGATCAAACTTGTATAGTTATAAAATACACATAGAATAGACATTTGTCATACCAGACCAATTCTAATCAAATAAAATCAAAAAAATTCAATCCAAGTACAAACATACTAATTGTCTTATTAAAGATTTGTATTGTATTCATTCAATAAAAAAAAAGATTTGTGTTGTATAAGAGTGATAAATATTTAAAAGTTTAAGGTTTTGAAAATGTGAGGTGTACTGAATGTGTTCTTTTAAAAGTCTAAAGAAGTCTAGATGTATTTAAATTTCATTCATTTTTATAGATTTTTAAAACCATGAATTGTAGTGGATTTTTAACACATATTACCTTCATCTCATAAAACTTGAACAACGTTGATTTGCACGTAGAATAATAAAGTACAAATTAGAGAAAATTGTCAATTTGGTCCTCATACTATCACGAAAAAGTCAATTAAATCTTCGTCCTTTTAAAAATCAAACACATTCCCTAACTTTGTAAAAATGTTCAATTGAGTCCATTTGTATGGTACTAGTCATGTCAAGAGGTTAACTGCTGACATGGCGCACATGTGGCAGCCCAATCAACGGTAACTTTGCTGACGTGGCACACATGTGGAAGTCTAGTCATCCATTTACTGATGGTGTGGTGCACACGAGGACCGTCATGTGTGCGTCACGTCAGCGGGTGACCTGCTGCCTGCTGGCATGGCAAGCAATCTGCAAATGTACTCAATTGAAAGTTTTTGCAAAGTTCGGGAATTTGATTGATTTTTTTAAAGTACGATGACCTAATTGACTTTTTTGTGAAAGTACGATGATCTAATTGACGGTTTTCTCTAAAAATTATGTTTTTGAAATTTGTGTAGAGAAGAAAGAAATGATATTAGCAACATATTGGTTACTTTAAATGAAAATGACAATGTTTTTTTGGGACAGTCAAAAAGGAAATTTAGCTAAGTTTTTTTGAGACAGTCAAAATATATTTAGTACTTCATTCATCCCTTATAAATTTGTCATCCTTCCTTTTTTGTCGTCCCTTACAAATTTTGTCACTATTCCTTTTAATCAATTAACTTGTGGTTTAAATTATTTCTTTCTCCTCTGCACAAATCTCATCAACCACACAATTTTTACTTTTTTGTGTCGGTCAAATTTGGCTAAGTATTAAGGAACGGATTGTATATTGATTCTCTACGATTGCATCTTCTCCTCCCAAATATATTTTCCGATCAAACTTAAACAAACCAAAATATATCAGACTAAATTTAAAGAGATCTAATCAAACTTAAGTAGACCAGACCAAATCAAAATCGGAAAATATAGGTGTGGCAGCAGATTGAAAGCTGAAAATTATGGGATGCTTCTAAGGTGCAGCAGTGCGATAAAATTAGTAAAAATCCGGTATTAGCTTCAGTCCAAATATTACATGTTATGTTGGGCCCTATACAGTTATTGCCTCATATTTAAGTAGTTAAATATAAAATTTATGTTAATTCTTACTCATGGGCTAGTATAATATAACTGATGGATACATGGTTTTGAACCCCTTACTCACATACTCATACTACACATAAATAGGCTCAGAGGGCCGCAGGAAGCCCAACAAGCAAGCAACCACCCTTCGGATAGCCCACTGGTAACCATGGGCCGCGATGACATAACATACAGAATAGGCATTTACAAAATTGATCAGAAAGACTCCGTCACTCATACGACCCATCAGCATGAGCCCTCGACCTTGTCTCCAGGACCCTCGATCTGCCTTCCTCTATCACCAGTGGACGCATTTAATGCACCAGCATGTGCTCGCTAGTGATATTCCGACGCAGCTTTCAATAACAATGGATCATCGTGAGATAGAGATTGCTGGTCATCCTCCCAATTTTAAATTTTCTTATGAAAATAAACTCGGGTGTTTAGACGTGATTTATTCTATTAGAACTTTGCATAACCACATTACTCGATGAATGACATTTGTTTCATTTATTTTGTTTAATCTTTTCTTATCATTTTGTGGAATTGTCACGTAGTTGACCTCTTACAATGTTTAGATTCATGAATGTTACTTCTTCTTTTTTATGATAAATGACTTCTTTTATTATAGAGAAAACATGCAAGACAACATCCAGACAACTTTTATAGATGTGATCGTAAGCCATAGACATAGAGTCAGTCAGCTCTCATGTCATACAAAGTAATCTGGCTTGCTAGATACAAAACGAGCAATTTTTAGTCTAAAATGACAGAAAACAAATCATTGCCTATAAAAAATCTCCAAATATCCAAATGATGGAGTATATGGCCCAAGAACCCCTGACCCACATACTTTCACTATTACGATCAGGCCCAACAGACCCCCAACAGGCCAAGCCCGACAGAAAGAAGCTCTGAGCAGCCCACGATGCATGAAGGGGTGCCTTCGGCCCCATGGCCGAAGGCTACCAGTGACAGAATTGGGTTCAACAAATATCACGGGAAAATAAGGCTTGAAAACCAAGCCTTCGGCAATTGGAGCTCTCGGCACTATGAGGCCCCCGGTACGCAGAGCCTTCGGACTGTCATCTACAGTCGAAGGCTTCCTCCTTGACAGAATCTCTCATCCACATGCACTAGATCACCGTACCAAGTACAAACGTCCCATTCAACCACCGCATTTAATGCGGCCACATGCGAATGCCAGTGCCACCCCGGTTGAGGTGACCCCTCGACCGCCAGAATGCTGACATGTGTCCCTATCTAGCATTTATTGCTATTATAAATAGCACCCTTTTCCCCCATTGTAAACCACGCTCAATACAATTCGAATACACATTTGAACTCTTTATCTCTCTTACTTATTTGCTGTGACTTCTCTCTAAGTTACTCCCCGCAGTAACCCCTCGAATAAATAAGCTATCCATCACCAAATATTCCAATCATACCTAGAACTAAAATAAACAGGTATCACTAAAGACCGATTGAATCTTGAAGAATGGCACAGCTAGCGAAATTATGTAATGAGAAGGTAGCATCTACATTCAATTTGTAGGCCTCCCTTGGGTTTTCCCAAAGAACTTTGATAAAACGAAATCTCCATGACTTCCAAAAAAGAGGAATCAAATTAAACCTTCTTCACGAAGAAAATCTGGAAAGTTGCAACCTTTAAAATGTTGTAAACCTGCATACCACTGATAGGAAAAACCATAAATTGTCCAAATACAAGAGTTAGGATTAAAATTGGTGCTATTGTTATCCGATGTATAAGTTGCGAAAACCTTCCAGTTTTGACAAATCGATATTTGAGTGCACCACATGTGTGTCAACCAGTTTGGTAGATTAGTATGGTTTTATCTTATGTAATAAGGAATGCAAAAGAGACTACTCGTACTATTTTAAGTTTTAACATGTTAAGGCATTATATTAAGGTTAGCATTTTCAAAAGAATAGTTGCACAAAGAAGTTAGTTTTGTCTACACTTTAAGAGATCAACCAGACAATTTATCATATGCAAGTAAAGTTTGGTTAAAAAGGTTTGATATTAAACACACCCATATGCTTACCAATCAGTTAAGTTTAGTTTACGATCTTAATCTATCAGTTAATCTTTCCTACTCTTGGAACCCAACCTTCATTTTTTCACTTTTAGTCCCGCACTATAGATTTGATGATACTAATGGTCCTTCAGACCACTTATCTAGTCAAGTTCGCTATAATTTTCAGATGATGTCCGCCAGAAAAATGGCTAGAGCGACTTATGTGATAAATTCTCAATCATGGAAGTATGGAACCAAAATGAGAAAATGAAAGTTAAGGAACAAAAGTAGCAATGTGCAAATAATGATAGGACCAAAAGTGAAAACACTTCTTTAGATAATAGTATTTGTCATTACTTCAAAGTTATACAACCTTATTAGCATCATCAGGATCTACAATAGCTCGAAGAGTTTCAAGAGCTTTGAGCGAAACTCTCTTATTACTGCTCCTTAGAACCTCAATAATCATTGGTATAGATTTGGATTATGGATGTTTAAGCAAATTTTTGATAAGCTAAAACTAATTAAAATGAAAATTGTATACTGATTTGGTCTCACACAAAAACGGTAATGAAAATGACAAGAACAACAAGAAAGATGTCAAGTGAGCAAAATAAAGTGAAATTCAGAATGTTGTTCGAATCAGGAGCCTCCTCCTTCCAATAGAGCTCGGTCCTACTTATAAAAGAGGTGGTTAATCCCCTGTTGCCCATTATTGACGGTTTCGACCGTTATGACGACATTCAAAATCGTCTTTATGTCGTCATTAATATCGGTCGGTCCTTTTGAGTAACTCCTGCCTTAATTACATTACTAGCTATAATAATACATGCAAAACCGTTATAATAATTAGCTAGCATTAAACCTAATAAATGCGTCATTTATCGTCATGGTCAGGCCTCTTGTATGTAGAATAAGCTGTCAAATTCCGGATACCCATGGGACCCCAAAATTCTAGCCTATTCAAATTCCTTAATATCTTTTCTAATTTTGCAGGCATCCCGAACTCTATGCCCGATGAATCAATATTTCTCCAACACAGGCGCGTATTAGAACCTGAGGATCACACATCCATATCTAAACTGATTTTTAATTATCAGATCCAGGAGGCAGGAAATAAGAATAATCAGGTCTTCCACGACGGGAAAAAACCCGAGCTGCCATTGATCCAAGCTTTCTCAGATGCATCTTATGATTTTTACCATTCAGATGACTCACTATTTACCGATGATTTCTTGGGACATGCAACCGAGAGCAATCGCCGTCCTCCTATTTCATACCCGGAAGAAATTAGGAAATCAAAATTCAATACTGCGATCTGCCGGAAAACTAATTTCATCACCTCAGAAAATTATATGCCGACTGAGAACTTGAACACGCAGCTAAAAATCTACAGGAAGTCTCAAAAGAATAAGAGGCGACACAGCATGCAAACTAGGTCCCAATCGAGAGATTT